ATGTTGTGAACCGCCCGGATTGGGTCACCAATGGGCGGTATATAAATAAAATTTATTAATAATATTATTATTATTATTATTAAGAGCATGCTGTTAAAGCAACAGGTTCAGTTGTTCTTCAGTATTACATTTTTATAAAGTGTGTTGTGTGTATGACACACAGGGGCAGATTTTACAGTATTTCAGAATTTTATTCATCAATTTAAAAGCTCTCTAAGGTTTATGATTTAGTGAATTAGTGGCTTAGTGGTTAAAACACTGATTCTGCTGACCACAAAATTGGCAGTTCGAGACCCAAGTGCCACATGACGGAGTGAGCTACCATCACTACTCCCAGTTTCTGCCAACCTAGCAGTTCAAAAGCATGTAAAAAGTGCAACTAGGTACCACCTTGGTGGGAAGGTAACAGCATTCCATTTAGACATGCTAGTAACATGATCACAGAGTCATCTTTGACAATGCTGGCTCCCTTGGCTTAATAAAGATGAGCACCGGCCCCTAAAGTCGGACATGAGTAAACAATCACGTCAAAGGAGAAATCTTTACCTTTTTTTATAAGATAGTTGAGAGCAGAACAATCAAGATAAAAGAAAGACTTAAGCAATTTTTATTATTACATTATTAGTGTTTTGCTCCAAAGCTGCTACAGCAGCTGGTCCCTCCCTCTTCAAAGCAGGCTGTCACTTACTTTGTCAAGCCTGTCTCTTTCACAGTTTTCTGCCAGATCTGGATTCTCTGTTCACGTTGACTTACTGCCTTTTGGTATGCAGGTGGCAGCCCACCAGGTATTTCTGTTGTGTCTCCTTCCATTTCAAATGGAACAACAAAGGGGTAAAACTCCAATGGAGAAAGGAGTCTAAACACATTTTCATCATAGTTCTCTCTGCATACTAACAATGGATTATCCCAGTAATTGGGAACGGTAGCCAATCCAGTCCTCCCCATGTGATCCTCAAGCATTGGATAATGGGTGTGGAAAGGGGCAAAAGTTATTGCTTTATTGCCCAACAAAATGAGAGGTCTAGTTGGAGTAAGAACATGCAAAGTACAATTAGTGGTTGATGAAAGAGAAAGATGGTGGCAAACAACAATAACTTTGACATTGTCACAGCCATGAAGATGAACAACTGTCCGTACTGGGCCCAGAACAAAGGTGCTATTCCTGCACTTCTCTATGGTCACAGACCTGAAAGAGAGAGAAATGAAGCCTGTTAATGCTAGAGGGATGGGGGGGGGGGACCCAAAGACTGCACATCTTTGAAATAAGATTGCTAAGACTGCCTCAAGCACCCTAACTTACCTCAGTGGAGATAGCAAATAGATGAAAGATTCACAGCAACGATGAATCTTGACATGGGAATCTTCTAGAGTACGGGAGCTCTTTGCCAGTGTCTGCTTATAAACTTGGCTCATCACAACTATTCGGTGTGCTGAAGGAACCATATGAATATTACAGGCTATCTTGGCTCGTTTGGTTGCTCCTTCAGCTAGAAGAACAATTAAACAATTGTTAAACAATTTTCAAAAAGTTAAAAATTAAAATTAAAATGTAGTTCAGCCTTAGCCAGAACTATCCATAAATAACAATTAATTGTGTCTCTTTCATTCTACGAATAATTTCAGAATAAGCAAGCAGACTTTCATTAAGGACTAGCCATAAATACATTCGTGCCTTTCCAAATTTCTTTCTGATCCAAAGCACAGCCCAAACAGGCTGGCATTTCTAACAAGCAGAAAACTGAAATTACATAGGCAATTTGTTATCACAATAAAGGACATACCACCCATGCATATACTATACATCTCTCTGAAACCTATACACCAGGGGTAGGCAACCTTTCCCCTTTAAGAGCCGAGGGACATCAGCTCCCAGAATCCTCAGCCATGTTGGCCAATAGTCCCATGTTGGCCAATAGCTCCTGGGATTCTGGGAGCTGAAGTCCCTCGGCCCTTAAAGGGGAAAGGTTGCCTACCCCTGCTTTACACATTTGCATAGCCTTTTATGTTTACAGGTATTATAAAAATATGGCACAAAAAATGGTTTCTTCCCACTTGGAAGCCAGCATTCTAGTCATATTGCACATTAAATGATAGTAATGGAGTCATTATAGACTTCTTGACTCCTTCTTACAAGCTTGAGTTCTTAATTCACAGTCAAGCATCTATAAGGAGATAATTACCATTTATTTTTATTTAATTTAAATATTTTCTGTATAGCCTCCCAGCCCACAAGGGCTCAGACCCTGATGTGTTCCAAACAGTGTATAACTCTGGGCAAACAATTGCATTCCTCTCATATATGACATGAAAACAGTGCTATAAGCATTTTTTTACTATGTACCAAATAAGAATAGTGAGCAACAGCATATATGAACAATCAAATAGCAAGTTAGCACTCATAAGAGTTAATAGCTAATTACACCAAATGTCCTAAATTGCTTTGATGCAAGAGGTGGATACCAGTACATAATATCTGGTAGGAATGCAATCAAGTGTATAACTGAAATGTACGCTCAGTGCTTCCTTTATCTATACACTTTGAAACTGCCAGATTCTAAAAACATTTTATGAGACTATCTTTCTTACTAAATTCTTTTAAAACTCAAACTTTATTGAAATTCATTGCAAATGAGCAAGGAACCAAACTATACAAATGGTTTAGAGGCTCTGATTTTATGCATAAGTATACGCTCTCATAACTCCCCCGAGACTTGCTGTATGTATGTATGTCAATCACCATGCTTCAGCTAATAGCATACATGCAGCAATCAATACATAGGTTGTCACTGCTCTCTACATGTTGAGTAATTACTCCAGTTTAACCAAATGCTGATCATTAAAAGCAGTACAGTTGGTCCTCGGTATCCGGAGGGGATCCGTTCTGGACCACCACCACCGCGATGCCAAAAACTGCAAATGTTCCTCCCTCCCTCCCT